GGGAGGTAGTCACTAGTGGCTGTGTGTGGGCAGAGGGGTAACTCAGGGTGCAGGGAGGGGGGAGCTAGGGGCTGTGTGGGGGGGTAGTTCAGGGGGCAGGAAGGGGGTTAGTTCAGGGAGCAGGCAGGGCATAGCTTGGGGTGCAGGGAGGTAGTCACTAGTGGCTGTGTGTGGGCAGAGGGGTAACTCAGGGTGCAGGGACAGGGGTAAATAGGCGCTGTGTGCAGGCAGGGGGTAGCTAGGGGCTGTGTGGGGGGATAGTTCAGGGTGCAGTAAGGGGGTTAGTTCAGGGAGCAGGCAGGGCATAGCTTGGGGTGCAGGGAGGTAGTCACTAGTGGCTGTGTGTGGGCAGAGGGGTAACTCAGGGTGCAGGGAGGGGGGAGCTAGGGGCTGTGTGTGGGCAGGAGGTAGCTCAGGGTGCAGGGAGAGGGGTAGATAGGCGCTGTGTGCAGGCAGGGGGTAGCTAGGGGCTGTGTGGGGGGATAGTTCAAGGTGCAGTAAGGGGGTAGTTTGGGACAGAGAGAGGATAGCTGGGGCTGTGTGTGGGCAGGGGAGTGGTTCAGGGTGCAGGGAGGGAGTGGGTAGGGACTGTGTATGGGCAGGGGGTAGCTGGGGCTGTGTGCAGGCAGGGGGTAGCTCAGGGGGCAGGCAGGGGGTAACTGGGGCTGTGTGCAGGCAGGAGATAGCTTGGGGGCATGGAGAGGGTAGCTGGAGCAGTGTGCAGGCAGGGGGTAGCTCAGGGAACACGAGAGGGGCTGTGTGCAGGCTGGTGGTAGCTAGGGGCTGTGTGGGGGTAGGGGGGTAGTTCAGGGTGCAGTAATGGGGGTAAATTATCAGAGGGGTAGCCGTGTTAGTCTGGATATGTAAAAAGCGACAAAGAGTCCTGTGGTACCTTATAGACTAACAGATGTATTGGAGCATAAGCTTTTGTGGGTGAATACCCACTTTGTCAGATGCATGTGGTGGAAATTTCCAGAGGCAGGTATAAATATGCAGGCAAGAATCAGTCTAGAGATAACGAGGTTAGTTCAATCAGGGAGGATGAGGCCCTTTTCTAGCAGTTGAGGTGTGAACACCAAGGGAGGAGAAACTGCTTTTGTAGTTGGCTAGCCATTCACAGTCTTTGTTTAATCCTGAGCAGATGGTGTCAAATTTGCAAATGAACTGAAATTCAGCAGTTTCTCTTTGGAGTCTGGTCCTGAATTTTTTTTGCTGCAGGGTGGTTACCTTTTAATCTGCTATTGTGTGTCCAGGGAGGTTGAAGTGTTCTCCTACAGGTTTTTGTATATTGCCATTCCTAATATCTGTAAGGGGGGTAGTTCAGGGTGCAAGGAGGGAATGGGTAGGGGCTGTGTGCGAGCAGAGGGATGGTTCAGGGTGCAAGGAGGGAGTGGGTGGGGCTGTGTATGGGCAGGGGGTAGCTAGGGGCTGTGTGTAGGGTTACCATACGTCCGGATTTTCCCGGACATGTCCGGCTTTTGGGGGCTCAAATCCCCGTCCGGGGGGAAATCCCCAAAAGCCGGGCATGTCCGGGAAAATCGGGAGGGAGGGCTGGGCCGGGGTCGCGGGG